AGCCAGATGCCCCAGCACTATTTTTTAAAGTCTGTGATAGTCCTGGTCTGTAGTACGTAATATATTGCCCTTTGTCAGTGTTGTACATAAGGATTTCCTCTAGCATGGACAGTATATGTTTCTTGCCACGTAAGGAAATATGGCTAATGGGAAATTAAACTGATAGATGAATAGAAGAAATGGGAGAATTCTGTGTGATTTTGGGGAATAATTTAGGGAAATGGGATTAATTGGGGTGTGAGATCCAGTTTTCGCTCTATCTTTTTTTTTTTTTTTTTTTTTTTTTTTAAAGAGAGGGATACCAGGACCAGGGAAGGGCAGAGGGAGGAGGAAAGGGAAAATCTCGAGCAGGCTCCCCAGTCAGTCAGAGCCCAGTGCAGGGTCGACCCCCATAACCCTGAAATCATGACCTGAGGGGAAATAAAGCGTTGGATGCTTCACCGACTGAGCCACCCAGGCATCCCTAGTTTTTGCTTTACTCTTTGCTATACCAAGTAATTTGTTTAATCTCATTGACTCTTGGTTCTCCCATCTTTGGAAATGAAAATTAGAGTAATACCCCATTTAATGAAGATTAAATGATTGAAAGTAATTTATAAATTATAAAGCCCCATATTATTCTATTTATTTATTTATTTATTTGACTGACAGAGATCAGAAGTAGGCAGAGAGGCAGGCAGAGAGAGAGAGAGAGGAGGAAGCAGGCTCTCTGTGGAGCAGAGAGCCAGACGTGGGGCTCCATCCCAGGACCCTGGGATCATGACCGGAACCGGAAGCAGAGGCTTTAACCCACTGAGCCACCCAGGCGCCCCAAAGCCCCATGCATTTCTCCTGGACCTTCCTAACCCATGGCCAATGCATTCATAAGGGAAGAAAGAATCCAGGCCACAATTTCCATCTGTTCACAGATGAACTACGTATCTCCCAGAGTGGAGAGTTTCTTGCATCCACTCCTCCAGCCACTGCTCCTTCCATCCATCCACTCACCATACTTTCACTGAGCCCTAGCCATGTGCTCTCATTTTGCTCTCCATAAAGCTTTGAAAAATCGGTGCCATGCTTTCTCAGAGGTGTCTGACTATGTGCAAGGAGAACTCAACTCAGCTTTCCAGAGTTCTCAATGTCTCCTTAAACCTGAAGACATAGAAAAATGGAAAAAAAAAAAAAACCCAACAAAACCAAACTAAGAATTATTCAGGTGACATATGTTTTGGACATTTTCCAAAGAGGATAATTACCTAAAATCAGTCTGACATTTATATCTCTAGCTTCCCATGCTTGTTAAAATACTTTTCTTGCTGAAATACTCATTGAGCTAAATTTCATCTAACATCTGGCCATTGTATAAATATAGCAATGAAAACATGTCTTGTTGCCTACACATTAGGTATAAATTTTAGAAATCCAATTAGTGTTTTATTCTTTCTGTGCATTTTTTTTCTTTGATTTTTCTTTAGTGCTGGAGCTACTTTTAGGCTCCTAACTGGAACTATAAGAATTCAAATATTTAACCCACATCTACACAACAGCAAAAGCAACTAGATTGAGGTATGGTGCTTTGTAGTATTCCCTAATGATTGTGAGATATTCCCTAAGTTCTTTATTCATTCATGCAATGAACATATGTTAAATGAATTGTCAAGCCTGGTGCTCAATGCTGAGGGTAGGGGATACAGAATAAATAAAATACCATCTTAGCCCTTAAGGAGTTTAGAAGCCAGTAGAGGAGACAGATACCTACACAAGCTCCTTCACTACGATGTGAAATAGGGCTCTTGCCATGTTGCCTAACACTGATGAGTGCTGTTAAGAGAGGTACGTACCCACCCGGCACCAAAGGCATCATTTGCTACTCACCTGATGGGGGGCACACTATGTAATTGATTGTCCTCGATTCTTCTCTGAGGGTCTATAGCTTCTCAAAATTGAGGAGCCTCTCAAACTAAGAACCCAAGGGAGTGTCCCAGTATTCCCTGTGTCTACATTATCCATCTGGGTAGGCAGAATCTGCCAGATGCCCTAAGGATGGACCCTCTAGTTAGCAATCCCAGCCTCATCTGAGTCACAGTTGTTAACGTCTTCACTTTTAGACTCCCTGTAATGCCAACTGACCTTCAAGGACCTATTCTGCATGGATGTGAACATTTAGAAGTCAGCCCGCGAAAGCACAATGTTCGCTGTGTACATCAGGGCCTACCATCGTGTATCCTCTGCAGCCTTTCCAAGAATGCATTCCCTTATATAGATTCCACCAGTCTTTCATCTGGTGATGATTATACTCAAATATCTAAACCTTTGGGTCATTCTCACGGATGCTCTTACATTTTAACTTGGAAACACTGGGAATGAATTTTCAAACATTGTCAGATGCAATGCTTACTTTTCAAACATTAAAAGTTTATTTGCACAAACTTAGTCATATGAGATACAAAGTAATTCATGGAAAGCAACCACAATGCTAATACTTAATAGATTTTTCCAAATATTAGATGTTACAGTTTAAATCACAACATTAGCTCTGATGTTGGAATAACATTTCAGTTAATAAATAATTATGACTATAACCATATGTTCAGTTTATTCTCACCAGTTTATCATGAATTACAATTGGGATTTGGGTCATAAAAGTGATAAACAGTTATATTTTCATAAACTGCATGTTTAATTAATCCTGAAGAGAATCTAAAAAGATATTCCAATGGGTTATAGAAATTAGGTGTAATTTTCAGCTCTTAGATTTTAACACGCGTGGGTAACACTATGACTGCTTTCCTAGGGTATGGTCATCTGCAAAAGTGAGTGGCCACAGTTTTTGAGCCTTGAATTAAATGTCTTCTATGTATTTCAGAGAACTATGAATTTCAGAAGTTACTGCTATTTTGGGGTGATCTATAAAGTATTACAATACCAATGCAAGCACACAAAATTTGTGGTAAAGAAAGTGAGTTTTGTATACTTTCAAGATAGTAGTCACATCTTCCTAATAATTTTGATGCCATACACATATTAGGAAAGAATTACTTTCAGACTAAGATATTCTGAATTTGCCTGATCTATAGTGCTTATAATGAGAAGTTATATTGGCCTTGTATCGTCTTCTAAGACTGTCTCTTGAGCTCCTACTGTCATCTAGTTGTCACAAAGGCAATTTCTCTGTCAAATGCTTATAACACACGGAGGGTAGTATCAACACGAAGCAACAAAGGGCCTCGCCAGGATTAATGGTAGTGCTTGAATTTGTTACTCTATTTGGAATTTTCTTATGTTACTGAATTTGAACCAGTAGTCTAAGTTGCCTGGTTTCATGGCCTAAGAGAATATTCTGTCCTATTTGGAATCAGACTCTAACAATTAATCAGATAGTTTAATGCCACATCTATGTTATTCAAATATTTCTAATCCTTTCATAACCTTTTCCAGACAGCTAGGACCTATCGACGGCATTAGGAGAAGAGTCAGAAAGGGGAAGAATGTATGAAAAGCATCCAATGGTAGAAACAAGGTGTAGGAATCTTACATTTAGCCAACAATTCAGGTACCAGACAATATTTCCTTCTGTTGTAAAAGTTTAGGACTCGGGGGGAAAAAAAAAAGGCAACTTCAACAATGAAATAATACATTCAAATGTTGGGCCCCAAATATTTAAGAAAGCCCCTCAAACTTAGAAACGTCTCTTACCCTTTGTACTTCTTTCGACAAACTATATACATTTTCATTGTAGGGACCATCTTACAGTTTTGGGGTGCTTATATTTTTCCATAGGGAAGAGACACCCGGCATTGCTTCCTGGCTGGGTATAATTCATTTATGTCCTTCCAGTTTTTTCTCTCTGATCTCTTTTCTGTCTATCTGTCAGCGGCTCTCTCCTGGGAGTGGCACGATGCACTTCATTAATAAGAAGGGATTAAAGGAAAAAGCCCTCGTCTCCTAATACACTTGGATAATTTGGTGCCATCCACAAGGCAATAGACCCCTGCTGCATAGATGTCATTAGAAAGGTACAATTTCATTACTTTTTACTGGCAGAGCCTTGAGTGAAATACAAAATATGTTGTCTCATATGCAGGGGAAAAAAAGTACCAAAGCTTTCATTCACTCTACGCCTCTAAAATATTAGAACGCAAAAATATATTTTATGGTTTTTACATTTATTATTGCCTTCCCTTAGTTGTCCTTGAAATCAAGCTTTTATTAAATACTGAGCAAAATCAAGATTAGAAGAAATTTATTTACATTCTTAAATCCTAAATGAAATTCATATATTTTTATTAACTAACACAAACCTACTAAGTGCCAGGCACTCTGCTGGTGGCTGGAAAACAATTTACAAAAACATCATTCATGCCTTTTTTTTTTTTTTAAGCACTAATTTATTAAATACTCTAACTAGAAGTGAGTATAAAAGTGAGTGCATAAGAAGTAAACCATATGGCTGAATAAAATGGATTGTAAGCCAGCAAATTGTAAGCATATTAAAGAAATCTTTTAAACTTATGCTTGTTAACGTAACTGCTGAGCTGACATATTTGACCTGGCTGATAGCATTATCTTTTGAGCTTACATCAGCGCCCCCCCCCCACGCCCCACCCCCGATTTTCAGCCTTTAGTGGTATACTGTGCAAACATTTGAAAAGACAGGCATAAACCATCATGAGAATCTCACCCTGTTTCCTATAGATGCCTCCCCAAACAGGAAATGATCCATGGGTCTCCCTGGTTGGAGACTGTGGCGGGCCACACATCTGAGCAAGTGGCCTGGGGTTTAGGAATCTGCCATGAAAACTACCAGTGGCGCTCCCAGGCATTGCCCTAGTGTGGTGACTCCCTGGGGACCTCAAGCATTACTTTCTTAGCACCGATTAGGTTGAACAGTGGTCCATTATGTCACTGCCACAGACATGCGCCTGCCACTAACACTAAAAAGTGGCACATGTTTGGAGCCGTGCGTGGGAGAAGAAAGCCCTTGATTATCAGCTTATTTTCAAGCCGTTCTTTGCAGGGCTGGGTTTTTGCTTCCCTACTAGCTGTGTTTTCAGTTAAACTGTCATTTGCAGCTCTTTGTCTAAGACAAAGTCTAGCCTGGGTGGTTAAGAGGATAGAGACTGGGATTACCAGAGACCATTCTACTAACTAGGCACAGCCGTTCAGGAAGAACGACAGGTCTCAACAAATACATGAGTTAGTAATAAAAATGCTTAAAAACAGTGTTGGGTTCCTAGGTACAGTATCTCTAAAAATGAAAGATCAGTTATCTAGTCCGCTCTGCGTATGGAGTGTTCTCATATCCTCACCCTTGCACTCTGCAACCATGGCCTTCCTTGTTTCTCCTGCATTTTCATTCATTAAAATACCATCACACGCCACACTGAAGACTATCAACGAACCTATGAGAAGTGAGAGAGCAGCAGAAATGGGGGCCGGGCAGGGCCCCACCTAACACCTTCCAGAGTGAGCAGAGCTTAATAACAAAAAGTTAGGATTCAGCTAGTTATGTTCTTGTTATCAAAAAGAAATCTCAACTAATGTTTAAATATAGACAACCAAAGTCACAAACAAACAAAACCCCCCGTTTTGCCAATAAATTAAAAAAATAAGCAACATGGTTAAGTGGTTAAATGCTTCGATTGTTAACCTCATGTGATGTATTTGAGGATGGGCACTGAAAACAGATCAACTATTTGATTCCAGAATGTAGATTCCTTTTTCCTTATGATTTTTTTAGAATGGCAATTTTCCCTCCACTCTAGTAAGATCATATGAGTCTATTTGTCCTGTTTGTCTTAATAGCTGTTTCTTATGATTTGGATGTTTTATTAGGTGGAAACAATAAATATTCAGGGTGTCTGAACATTCTTCAGATTTCTGGGCTTTCGGTCCGCATTACCTTGGGCACTGAGGAAGAGGAAGGAATATTATGAATTTGGAGTTCAGGTTGAAAGTTGGGTATTTGACATATATAAAATGGAAACAATTCATTAACAATGACCCTTGTTAATGTTGTCTTGCTGAGGTAGTTCACAGTAAGGGACTGCTCATAAAAGAGCATGTTATATTTCCTCTCTTGAATGTGCATGACTCTGTGACATGCTGTCCCTTGCCATTGAAAAACTTGACTTAATGGAATAAATACTCAAACAAGGATCAACAATCCCAGGGCCATGGTAGAGGAGGATTAAGCTGATAGGTATGTCTCTAAATTCTGCCAGGCAAGACTTAACCAAATCTTGATCGACATTTTAAAGTGATTATCATGGATGGCAGCAGGATTCGCTGGATTCATATTTGCTTTGGGGACACTTTAGGAAGACTTCTTTTTTAGATTTGGAATTCACAATAGGTTTCTTCCACTCCTCCTTGGTGGAACAAAGAAATATTCTTATCTACCCTGAATAATAAGACATGAGAAAACAACCCTGCGCATGGCTAATTTATAACAAATCTGTTTCCTTAATGGGTGGAAGGAAATCTGAGGACCGTTCTGAGTGTTCCTGTCTGCTTTCAGTGCCATCTTCTAGTCATACTGAAGACAGCACCTCGCCCGATGGGTCTTTCCCCTTCTTCTCCTCGCCCCGGTCAATGTCAATCACGTGCACCACTCCGGGTTTTAGGATCAAGTCGTCAGTCTCTACCTGACTCCTATTGTCCTCCACCTCCATGTAGCTCCCCTTCGTTTGCTGGGCAGCTTTGCTGAAGGCTTCTTTCAAACGACGTTTGAGTTCAACATCTGGACAGAAGACGTACTCATAAAGGCCACCAGCGAGGACAGCTCCTATTATCGGTCCAACCCAATATATCTGGGGAAAAGATGGAAGAGTTATGGAGCGAAAGTGGAGGAAAACTATTCCTTTGAACAACTCACGAATCTAGAGCTTAGCTGGATGACATTAAGGGAGCCAATGTGCTGTGCAGAAGAAAGTAGGATTGGAAAGAATATTAAGAAAATATATCATCTGCACATCAGAAATCCGTAAACTGCTAAATAACATGTGAACGGAAAACAGGGAAAGGCTGTTTTTGCTTTTCTTGCTTTTACTAGTTATTTCCTTTCCATTTCTTGATAATCCTTAAAGTTGAGATAGCTCCTTTTTGGGGGGGAACGGCACATTAAGTGTGCACTAAGAGTTCTTCAACTGAAAAAAAAAAAAGAATTTCTGGAGAGTATTTCTCTTATTTTCTTAATATTGCCATCTTACGTTGGTTTCCCACCTAACTGCAATCAACACACAGATGTTATTGTTTGAGATCTAGTTATTCAGCAGAGTGTGATGGATGGAATCCCAACTCCCAGCTCCACCACTCAACAATCTGGTGAGTTCTTGCATCAGTACATGACTTCTTAAACCTTAATTTCCTCATCTGCAAAGTGGGGATTATAATAATGCAGACCTCATGGGTTTTAAAAATTCAATGGAAATAATCCTTGTAAAGTACTTATTCCTTCCAATTTCATAGCAACTGTCTCCATTCCATGTTTCCTAGACAATATAAAGTTGTATGTGAATAGGCTGGCGATAAGTCATCTCCTGTATGTTACATGATTTCCTTCCCTAAAATCTGGTGATTTGATTTAATTGAAAACCTCATGATTTGTTTATTTCCCTTCTTTCATCCTCATGGTTCCTACCATGGTCACTAAGTGAAAAAAACCCAGTACCTTGTTTATGGGTGATGGTTAGTTGAGGATTAGCAACTCTATAGGATTTTTCATTCAACAAATGGAAGCTTTTTATCATACCGTTATTGTGTTTAGAGTAAACTAAATGTTAAGTTTTGGTAAACTTCAACATTTACTTGGAGTACATATATGCGGCAGAAAAGCATACATTCATTCAATAGATTCAGAGGAGCAATGGAAACCTCGTTTACTGAGCCAGCTGTACTTAGTCTTTTTCTTATATTAACTCCCGTGATTCCAACAGGAACCTTTGAGGTAGATATGATTATTGTCCTGATTTTATGGGTAAGGAACGGACACCTTGAGAGGGCAAGAAGCTTGCTTAGGATTTCATGCTTACCAAGTGCTTGAGCTAGGATTTCGGGTCTGTGTGAGTTTAAACTTCTTTTTTGAACTACTGCCCTGCTTTTTAGGAGACTCCCCTTTTCTCAATTGAAAAAAAATAGAAGGAATGCTTCTGGCTTAAGACACTCTGTAAGTGAATTTCATGTAGCATCCTCATTGATAATTCTAAAGAAAATTCAAAATTTGAGCTGTTGCTGATCTCATATACTTCACATGGAAACTCTCAGTAGGGTGGTTACAAGGACCAAGCTCCTTGTCTTGAACAGAAAGAAACCGTGTAAAAGTTGACCTTCTCCCTGCCCAATCAGAGAAGAAACTAGATCCCTCCTTTAAGTGTCTTTGCCCTCTGATGGTTAGATATGTTCTAGTCCCCATGCTACGACTCCCACAAGGGAGGCAAAGGTCTTCTAAATAATTAATTAAATGCATCCCCAAAACTCCAACGCAGAAGACATCTAGTTACATGCTCCCCAAAAAAACCAAATCTCAGTTTCAAGTGTTATTCCCAAACAAAAGTCATAACATACTTTAAAAGGACTTTCAAAATTTATAAAGGTAAATAATTTTTCTTGATAAAAATATAGATATATGGAAAGTACGAAGAGGAAAGCTGAAACAGTGTCATTACACTATCTAGAAAACTCACCATTAACATTTTGATGTTATTGTAGTCTATCAGTCAAGCTCTCTGTCTGTAAATATGCTGTAAATTAGTTCTAAAATCCACACACCTATTGCTACAGAATGGGCCTTTGTGTTCAGTGGGATCAAGTTTGTTATAAAATAGCAATAAGGGGAAACCTTTAATTCAGTCAACAAGTTAAGAAGTTTCCTACTAGTCGAATTTTAGCTAGCCTACCACAACCACTAGGTAATTAGTAAACATATATACTTTCACCCACATTTTAAAGTCCTCATAACTGAAATATTAATTTCAACTTGCTATTTGTCTAAATTGTAATTGTAAAAATAGTTTGAATTTAAGAAAGTTGAACTTACAGTTGTACTTTTACCATAAATAACTATATACTGCCCCTTAAAAATTTCCATTCCTGTTAATATGGCAAATTTTGAGACATAAATGGAAATATCAGTGGCAAAATGACCAATCCCGTGGATGGTATATATTGACATTCTTTGCATGGTTGGGTCCAAAATTGGGCTTTTGAGCACTGACTCTCATTCTTTGAGGATTGAAATTACGTCTAAAGGCTCAGTACACTTTCTGAGCAGCGAATGTCGGTAGTAGTGGTGGGATTTCCTCTCATTTGTAACGTGCACTGCGGTTGAGAGGATGTAACTGGGTCAATAACGGCTGTATGAATGAAATTAAAACACAAGTGACATATAGGTATATTCTTGAATTAAAAATAAAATTTGTTAAAATAGCCTTCACAGCACATCAATGACAATCAAAGGCAGCCCTACCTGAGGCTGGCTTACATAAGTCTCCTGTTTTTACTGGTAATTTTAAGTTAGTCTAGGAGTAGCCTTAAAACTGCCTTGTTATTCACTTAACGGATTTAAGTTCCTGTGTTGTAAGAAACAATTGAAATAGAATGGATTGCGATATTTGGAAATGGACATCCTTATGTTCTGGAAGCCCTGCCACCCCATAAATAAGTAGGTTAGCCACGAGACTGGAAAGCATGCTTCTTCAGAAAGTCATTGATGTTTCAGCTATGGTTATGGTGATAACGGCATAAACACTTGCATCATTTATTCCTCTCCATCTGCAGTTCAAATGCTTCCAGCTCACATACTATTAATTGGGTTCATGGACAGTGCTTTTAAGCATTTCTTTCTTCTTTTTTTTTTTTTTAATTTTTTTGCAAGTGTATATTTTGTTATTGCCAGGAAAGCTTTAGTTTCAGTGATTGAAACCCCATATTCACCAAACACCCTGATTTTTGCTTGTTCCCCATAGGTAAGTCTATCAGATACAGTGCCCAGAGCAGTGCTGATTAAAAAAGAAAGACTATTATGGAAGGCCCTGAATAGATATAAGATATGATGTTTTATAGTAAATCTGGGCTAGTCTCTCCCTGGTCTCTATGAAAGGTGTAGGAAAGTGGGGAGTCAAGGTTGGAAGGGAGTAAGAAAACTGGCAAGCAAAGAAAAAAAAAAAAAGAGCTCTGTGGGTAATTGTCCCCAACTGTAGGAGCACAGGAATTATCAACATGATGGTTACCCAGTGATTTTCCCAATTTCCCATGATAACTGCAGGTCCAAAGGATCGCGCGGGGTTCATGCTGGCACCGGTGTAATTGATCTACAGGAGAAAAGAAAACAGCTTCAGACATTGCTGAGATGGGACTAGTAGCAGGAAGTGTTCTCTGCAATTTGCTACTATTTGCCAAGTCAGTTAGAGGAACTGTCAAGATGTTAGCAGCTATATCAACATTTCTCATCACAAAGTTAACAAAATAATCACCTAAAATGGACAGACGTGGCTGGATACTAAAGGACTACAGCTGTAAAACACAACATCTTTAAGCCAGCTCTAGGGTGAGGGTAAATGAAATGAGTCAATTATTTAAATGGACTTGGAAACTTACTGCAAATAAATGTCCAATTGCAACAGAAAATCCAATTGCTAAAGCTACTGAACCAGTGACATCGGTCCGTTTGGAATCACAGCTGGCAAAAATAGTAAACACCAACTGAAATGTGATGATCAACTCCACCAGGAGACCGTGACCAGCGGTAAGATTTCCATGAACCTAGAAAGAGAAAAATGCTCCATCTGAATCGAAGCATGAGTATATTTTCTGTGATAACATATCATAGTGAAAGGCATACTTCATCACTGGAAAAAGCAATGGTTAATTTGAATCATCTCTTCTACCCCACAAGTGAGATGCTCCCCCTGCTTCCAAAAAAAGAAAAAAAAAAAAAAAAGGAATACATTTCCACTCATTTTGGGTCATCACAGATAGTTAATTACTCGTAAAATGACCAAGCGGGAATTTGTGCTGAATGTTCTTTTCTACAAAGGAAGCAAAAGTGTGCCACTGCTGCACTTAACTTATAAAGGAGTTTCTTGAGAATTTATAATTTTATAAGGCAATGATTAAATCCATTAATTAGGTTTAAATTAATTAATATACATTTCAATTACAATTTAAACTGTGTGTGGGTTTTTTTTTTTTTTTTAATCAATCCTGGTGCTGAGCTAACAACTGATGTTCCTAACCAGTTAAGGACAAAACTAGGATCAAGTGCCAATTTATTGTTCTAAGTGTGGCCCTTGATGTAGATCACTTTAAATCTCATGAATGTGATAGGAAACAAAATTGTTTCTTCTGCTAGTGCACCAACAAATAGTTGTAATAAAAAATGCCTTAAGCTAAATATATAGTCTAGTATAGTTGCTCGGATGGGAGAAAGAGCGAGGGGAAAAAAAAACCCCACAATTTTTGTGCCACCTAGCCTAATAATATTCAAGTCACTAGATGAGGAACAATGATTATATATAGATACAATCAGTGTTGCTGGGATGAGTTTTCAAGCGTATCAAGAGTCATCAGAAATCTTCTAAGAAGAAATTAGCAATTTTAGGAAATTCTCTCAGGCTATTGGGGTGTCATGTAGCAGGGGTCTGCAAGAAGCCTGGAGTCCTAGTTTGAAAATAAGAGCCAAAGATGCTACCGTGGTGACCCCCAAGCCCCCCACCACACTGGAAGGTGTGACGAGGTAGAGAATCCCGGCTCCGATGATGGCACCCAGGCACTGGGCTGTGACGTAGAAGACAGACTTGGCGATGCTGATCTTCCTGGTGCACACCATGGCCACTGTCACAGCGGGATTGATGTGGCCGCCGCTGATGTGGCCAAAGCACTGTACCATAGTTGCAATGCTGAGTCCGAAGCAAAGGGAGATGAGAACCATGTCGACAGGTAGGGGCTTTTCTGTCCCCCCCCAGTTGATGGTGGATCCCAGGCTGAGGAGAACAAAGATGAGCATGGCCAGAAATTCTGCTGTGACTGCCTTCCAGAAAGCTTGAGTCCAGACCCCTCTGAAGGCCACCATGATGTTCTCTCTTCTACACAATGGTCCACACTTACTGAAAAGAAAACAAATGGTATCAGTTTACCAAAGCAGGGTTCACGAATTTGGGTGAAGACTCCAGGCGTACCTGTAATCTTGCCCGTCTGTGGGGAATGGCCCTCTCAAAGGTTATTTGCATATCAAGAAAGAATGCTTCCAGGAAACCTTCCTAATTAATGGTCTCCTTAACAGTCAAATGGTGACGCTGGCCGCCTCCTATTTAGTAGTCAAAGCTCTTTCAGTAGCACCGATGAGCGCCCAGAAAGGGAAATACGGTTTCTTCAGTTTCTTAAAGAACGAAGAAGGGAATACATGTACTTGAGAGCAAGAGTTAATTCCCTCAGAGTAAGTTTTTAAGTTTCACTGTACTTTTAACATGCCATTTATAGTTTGAACGTAAAGCAATACACACACAAAACGGGAGGGTTTTTTTGTTTGTTTTGTTTTTTGCCGTTTTGCCGTTTTGCCCTTGGTTGCGCAAAATGGCATTCTGAAAATGGATTTGTGGAGCGCGACGCTCCTCTTCCCCAGCAGAGACTGCGGATTTCGGGAGCAGGCGCGCGAGGAGGCCGGGGTGCTGAAGCTGGTCTTTGGAGAGGCCGGGTCGTTCCGGGGAGGGGAGCTCAGGGTGACTGGCAGGGGCGGTGGGAGTTGCCAGGGCCGGAGCGGCGACTGGGACACGCTCTCCGTCTCCCTGGCGGACCTGGGCGCGCGGCGCTGGGCCGTGTCAGCCTCGGGCTCGGGGGGAGCGGCCACCCCCGCGCGGGTGCCAGGTGGACAAACAGTCGCGGCCCCGCCCCCGCCCGCCCCTGTCCCAGGCGTCCCGGCAGCCGCAGCTGCATCCTGGCTTCCGCCGAGCTTTTGGAAGCCTGGGGGACAGTCCCATCTTGTGCCCGACCCTTTCTCGACCCCCGACGTGACCCCTCAGACATGCTTCCCCAAAGAGACCCTGCAGGCAGGTGTGGACGCCCCGGGCACCTGGTCCGCGCCCTCCGGGGGCAGCCGAATTCCGGGACCGGGGGTGCCGGGCAGGGGGCAGTGGCCCTCGGAGCAGGAGGCTGCACGGGGACTGGCTGTTCCCCCGCGTCTTCTTGGCGGCCTTCTCCTCCTCCTGCGTGGCCCAGAAAGACGGCGGGGACCTTGTGTGTGTATTGGGGCGGGGAGGAGGGTGGGGTGCGGCAAGCACTTTCTTCCTCCAATCTGTTTTCCTCTTAAGTGTCCGAGGATCTTCGGAACTGAGAAGGGATCGGGTTTGAGGATATTAATGCCAACTGCTGGTTTGGGTAAGAAATGGCTAGAATTCCCAATGTGGGGGACAATTACTCTAGTTACCCCATTATTCAAGGCATTTGGCCTTATCCTTTGCCAGTGATAGCGGTGAGAGGAAAGGAGTGTGGAAACACTCATCACCAGAGGGCTATGAAAAAAGAGTTAGGCGAGAAAGCCAGGTATTTGAACGGATTAGAGTTATTACAGCTTTTCCCTTGATGTATAAGGAAGAGGAACACTTCCCACCCCCACCCCATGCCCAGCCTGGGTTCTGGATGAGCAGTGGGGAAATGCTGGGCCAAAAGAGCTAGGGAATTCTCCCTTGACCTTTAGGATCTCAGCTCAGCCTCTGGTTTGATACCGGGCTTTGCTCCCGAGTTTGAAGGAGAAACCCATTTTTGGCGCAAACCGGGTGGCTCCGGAGGGGGCACAGCCTGCTCTGCCTGTCCTAGGTGTCCCCTGGCTGTGAACTCCTCTAAGTAATTACAAGAAAGCCCAGCTGAGAGGACAATGGCATCATATTCCCTAGAGAAAGAGAAAATAAAGAGCCAAAACAGCCCTTGGAATGGAGCAGGAAACATGCCCTGAGGGAGACATTAAAAATATCCCCAAGGGGGAGAAACTTAAAGAACTCACAGATTGAAAAGAAGCTAGGAATGGGGCTTCTGAACTCACCAGCAGCCCTGGCTGCAGCCAGAGGCGAGGGGCAAAGGGGCTACCACAGGTGCTGGTCGTCTATGGCTGGATTAAGTGGGAAAAAGGAAGAGGACAAAGCACAAAGCCAAGGAGGCTGGTGGGCAGGACACCTCAGGTCCCTTTTCAACAGCAAGGTTCACCAGGAGAGGCGGGCTCTGGCAAAAGGCCGCCTCCTGGCTACACTCCGGCTCCCTCACTTTCCCCAGCCCCCCAAGTTCTATCTCCCTGCCTCTTCTCTCCTGCCTCTCCAGAGAACTAATTTAAGAAACTCACTTGCTCTTTCAGCTTCAAATTTTCATCAGCCAGAGAAATTAAAACAACATCAAAAAATAAAAAAAAATTTAAAACCCCAATAGATAAATATACTCCTAAACAGTGTTTTAGCTTTTTTTGGAAAACCCACAGAATCTGATGTCTTTCCAGGGCAGAGCGAACAGCCTCCGTTAGCTGCGAACCCCAGAGTTGCCAGGCAGCACATACATACCCCTGACCTTCCAAGCGCTCACCTCGGCAGGCAGAGTCTGTCATGGCTCCTGTTATTACCGGCGACGCTCCTTTATGCGTTCACACTCTCCGAAAATGGATCAACACTATTTGTTGTGCTTCTCTCGCCCCAGAAGAAAGGGGGTTTGTTGATGTGTCCGCGTTGTACTGAACCAGACACATTACTTTCTAGCTGAGCACACAGCCTGATCCACTTCTGGACAGCTGAGCCTCCCGGTGAGTAATTTTTCTGATGAAAAATACTGCAGATAGATTTCCTTCCATAGGGTAATTTCCCTGTGCATGCACAGGTCTCAGATATTTGGAGGATTTTGCAACAAAGCATCCTTTTCTTCTTCTCCCTTCCCTATGCCTCTCTTATGATTATGCCAAGTACCCAGATCTAAAAGAATCACCTACCTGCCCTATAGTTGCCTTCTAGATTCTGTCTGAGAAGACACATATATATATATAATAAAAGAGTTTCATCTTTTGGCCCCGCGCTTTGTTCCCTTAAGGCAAAGAAGGACTTACCCCCACTGCCTTGCTGCGGGTCTGCCACTCATGCCTTCCCTGGCCAGAGTGCAGCTCTCATTGCCTGCCCTGCAGCTCCCAGTGCACTGGGAGTCAGATTACGGCCACTTGTCTGATTGGGTTTTTGGAGTGTAGGGGTGGAAAGACTCTGCACCATGTGGCAATCGTCAAGTTATATTTGAACTTGAAATAACTTCTCTCTACCTGATCACCCGAGACACAGGGCATTTCAGGAACACAAAATGTTTGCTTACATTGCATTTCTTTAGCTGGTAATCTTTGAAACTGAGGAGTTCCCCCAATTTTATTTCGATTCTTCTCACCACAATGGATTGCTGAGAATTTGTCTTGTTTGGTTATGTGTCGTAGTTGAAATTGGGCACCTATGAGAAAACAGATTTGTGTTATCCAGCAGTTGAGATGGGTTGAGATCTGGGCTGTAGTACATTTGCTTTTGAGAGGCTGAATTTCCAGTGGCTTCTTTTGAAGTTTTTGATCTGAGAAGTAGCGTTTTAAGTACAGTAGATAAGTCCATTTGTAGCTGGGTAACACTGATTTGGATAATAGGAAAATAGGAAAAATAGGAAATAAGACTATTCCAGGGTGCTCCACTGACTGTTACGTTAATAACAATTGTTGAGTAAGAAGTAGCAAATTTAAAAATATGGAGGTTGGGTGGGGATAAAATTTTTGGAAATGGAACGCAAATTTAATATCTGCAAACCTAGGGACAAGACTGACGACATCATTTGTGGGGCCTGATTCGGAAGAATGCATCACAACTATGATTTTCTGTTTTCTCGTCTTGTTTGGGGACTTGGGATTTGGGAATGGGTGAAGAGCCATTAGAGAGGGATGAAAATTTTGAGTGTGAATTTCGGAGGAACATTTTATTATTCTCTCAAGCGTTGTTGACTTTACATCCTTAAGAATGTGGTTGCACAGTATGGTTGTCCATGGGGTGGGGGTTTAGGGTATTAGCCTTGTTAAAATGTGCTCCCTGAAGGTAGGAATAAATTCTGTCCAGAGGGGGAAGGTGTCATTGATGTGAATTCACAAAGAACATGTAAACAATTTGATGTTGATTCTTAAAGCCCTTAATCATTCAGATTTTAGAGTACGATTAAAAAAGAACCGGCTCACAAATATTTTTAAAAAATTTGAAAACTTCCATTTTTTAGACAGAAGGGCTAATCGCTCTGACCCTACGACCACAGAGTCAGAAGTGACTCTGAGGTCTATGAACCCAAGGACAGACTCTGCAGTGTTTAGGTTCTTTCTTGTGAATGAAGCCCATGGTCTTCTCTCTTCTCCACGGGAATCCACCATGAGTGGTGTTCCCTTGGGGCCACCGATCACTGAGAGGACGTTTTTCAGGCCCACTCTTTGCAGGTTGCCCTAGGCTCATTAGCATTCACTCCCTGGCCGTGGCAAGTTCCCGTCACCATTTTACAAAGTGCCAGCAAACTTGGTTGCCACGGTTTCTCAGACTCTTTCCCTTTCTTCTGGCTGGCTGATCACTGTCCTGGTAGCATGTGTTGACAGTCAGTTCCTAAGGGATGGCTATTCCCATCAAGGGAAGGGCCACCCTCATTGGCACCAACTCAAGCACTTATTAGTACTCTCAGCAGAGTGGCTGAAAATTGACCAGGGATTAACCCTTCACCTACTGGAGGTAGTTTTTCTTATCAGGTATTACTTACTGTCTTTTTAAATATTTGAGGCAGTGTTACCGATTCTCCGGCAACCTTTCCAGTCTTGTCCAAAATTGCTGCTTGCCTGACTTTTCTTTGGACTAGGGACAGCATTTCCAGTAGGATTTTCTGGGGCGATGCAGGCAGGATAATGATGGAAGAAAACAGCTTTGATGTGCTCGTGGGGGTGGTGTGGGGAATATGAAGTGAAAGCCTTGGTGAATGCGAAGAACAGCTTCTAAGTCGATCAGTTTTGTTTTTTTTTTTAAGATTTTATTTATTTGACAGACAGAGATCACAAGTAGGCAGAGAGGCAGGCAGAGAGAAGAGGAGCAGACTCCCTGCTGAGCAGAGAGCCCCATGCAGGGCTCGATCCCAGGGTCCTGGGATCATGACCTGAGCCAAGGCAGAGGCTTTTACCCGCTGAGCCACCCAGGCGCCCTAAGTCGATCAGTTTGGAACTGGCCTGGGCTCAGGGCCAAATGAGATCTGGAATCTTAAATTTTTTTAAAGGTTTTATTTATTTATTTGAGAGAGAGAGAGAGAGAGCATGAGAGAGCACAAGCGGGGAGAGCAGCAGAGGGAGAGGGAGAAGCAGGCTCCCCACTGACCAAGGACCCTCCATCTCAGGACCCTGGGATCACGACCTGAGCTGAAGGCAGACGGTTAACTAACTGAGCCACCCAGGGGCGTCCTGGAATCTAGTCCCCGCCCCCCACTGGTAACTTGAAAAGGGCATAATTCCTTTAAAAAAAAAAAATGGAGTCACAACTTACTGATTACATCTTTTTGACTTTCTTATTGTACAGTGGTCTGATCTTTGGAGGGAGGATCGTAACATGGCACATTAATTTAAGATCAGTGTTCCAGGAGAAAAATGAGAGAAGAGTAAATGAAAATTTCAAGAGTACTCAGCCAATCCCAGCTGATGGACCCAATTTGCTTCCGAATTTTTTATGTAACACACCATACTGTTTTCTTTTGGTGCTAATGTATTTCTTTGGGGTTTGTGGACTCCTTCCCCCACCTTTGCCCTCGGAACTTTTAATATTTCTTCATGTATTCAGACACTGAAGTAACACAAAAGGATAAAACACACCAGCAATGCCTCAATACCAGACGGGAAGTGTCTCCAGGCTGGTGGGGCAGATTCAATCGCAAGTCATAAATCTTATTTTGCTTTTCATGAGTCTCAGCATCATGAATTCCCCCCAGAGCACTTATATATCAGGATGTTCATTAAAAACCAACAAATAAACAGAACAACAGCAGGAGCCACAACCAGAACCCCCACAACAAAGGGCTTTAATCGAGCTTTGTTCCCTTGTCAAAGAGATGTTGCCTTACTGCTGCCATTCAGAGTGGCTTCCAGAAATACAGTTTGCCACCAAAAGAGGGAAATAAAAATAATCAAAGAACCCGCAAGGAACCCAAGCCTTCATCTCCCATCTCTCAGGAGGGTGAATCTGAGGGAACTGGGGGTGTTTCCAATGGACATGGAAACTGTCATAGGTAATTTCTCTCCCCGTCCCCATGCCCCAGGGATCCAGGTCTTCCCTTTTGGTATAGCAGGCACATTTTCCTTGATTCAGGTCCAGGCAGACTCTGCTTTGGCTGGGGAGTTGTACTCTGCTGACATTTAAGGCAGGAATTCCCTGGGAAAATGGTCAACAGATTCTTTTGGTGCTGTTGGCAGGGGTCCAAAGGGTTTAGGGTTCCCCTCTCTGGACGAATGGGGAGAAAGGGAGGGAGGGAGGGAAAGAGAAACAGAAGGACTTTATTGAGTGACTGTATTTCATCTGAAGCTTGCACAAAAAAGCAGAAATGTGTCTGGGTGACTGGAACCTTTTCCTACCCCTTATCTCTTACCCCAGCTTTTATGACAGTTCACAATTTGGTTGGGCATTTCAAAGGCCACTCAGATACCCTCAGTGGAAAACCAGTTCTCTGGGAAAGCAAAAGACTTTGGGATCTAATGGGTCACACCAAAATATTTTAAATGATTGATCGTCGAAGTGCAGTCTGTAATAGTAATTGTACCAACATTTAAATTCAATTTGAACCTCTGAAGAGGTAAACCCATATTTGGGTGATAATTATCACTTGTTATCCTATAGGAAGTCTCAGAATCCTCATGTTTTTAATAGCCGAACCAAGATATTCCCAGTTTCAAGGAAAGAGCAAGATGTTTATAATTTGGGGCACAAGGGAGCTGTGACGGGGGAGTTGACAAAACCAGTAGGCATTAAAAAATACTTTGGAGTAATGCTGGAAACAGAACATTTTCTAAGAAAGGAGCAGAAGTGGTCATAATCTTGACCACAATGTGGTCTGACTTTCAGAGAACGTTCCTTGTTCTCATAAAACTTTTAATAATTCAGACAAAATTTGCTCTTTCTACCTTCCTAAATCATCATAGGTCCTTCCTTAAATCATCATAGGTCCTTCCCTTTGACCTTTAATTTTTTTTTGTTTTTGTTTTTGTTTTTTAACATTCATACAATTGGAAGAAATGTGCATCTGAAGAAAATCGCAGAGCCTCTTCTAGGTGGCAGTTCTCATCATGGTTTCCCCTTACCCAACTGTTCTCTCTAGCTCCCCCTTAGTCTGTATGCCTGCTGTAGGGGACCATACTGTAGCCACATTTTGCCAGCTTCCATCTTTAGGGGACCAGTTAAGGGTCTCCTTGCATCTCCATTCCCTTTTTTTTCTGTCTTTGGTACACAAATCAATACATAAAATTTATTTATTTAAATAAAATTTATTTATTTAATGAGTAAATAAATAAAATAATAAAAATATTATATTAATATAAATATTATATTAAAATAAATAAATAAAAATGTATTTAAATACATTTTATTTAAAAGATTTTACTTATTTATTTGAAAGAGAGAGAGAGAAAGAGAGTGTGAGCACAGGAGGTGTGAAGGGGCAGAGGGAGAAGCAGACTCCCCGCTGAGCAGGGAGCCTGACATGGGGCTCTATCCCAGGACCCTGGGATCATGA